CCATCCTGAGCTGCAGGGAGGGAGAGGGGACAGGCCCAGCTGCAGGAGCCATGACCTGTGCAGTGGCAGAGGGACCCTCATGCTCAGCAGGGCCCCTGTTGGTTTAATTCTCTGTTGCTATCTTGAAAGTCTTCATCCTTTTGGAACAGGAAGCCACATTTTTACTTTGCACTGAGCACCTGATTCAGGGACTGGGGCTCTGAGGCACTCATGAGGTGGGCCCCTCTCCACAGGAGTCCCAGAACTCATAAAGGGGCTTCAGAAATGAGCAGCTGAACCACAGACACCCCCAGGCCGGGGCCACCCTCACGAGTATCCGTGCCCAGGAGTTGGGCTGCACCCATGGCTGTGCTAACAGGGGTTGGGGGGACCACGTATGTGTACACACCGCCATGCAGTCACAAGTGCCACAGCTGCTCACCCCATGCCCGCACTTCCAGCGCTGGGGGTGGCTGGGAGACCTCTCCATGCCCCCCGTCACCCCTAAGATAATGAGACAGCAGGGAGGGCAGGAAGAGCTGAGGGGCTGTCAGAAACAGGAGAGTCCTTGCCTCCCCTGTCTCCCAGGAAAGGAGAGACCCCCTCCCTCACCCTGATGTCAATCTCCCAGGAGCTCCCTGCAGGGCCCTGCGAGGTGTGCCTCTTGTCCCCTTCAACTCCCACTGCCAGCCTGATACAGCATTTATATCACACCCATTTAAAGGATGGCAAAACTGAGGCTCCAAGAGGCAAAGTTGCTGGCTGGAACCAAGACAAGCAGACATGGGAGCCCAATGCCCCATAGTGGTTCCCGGGAAAGGACCGGTCCCCTGGGCCCCTGGGCCCCTGGGCCCCCAGTCGGCCCGCCCCTCCCCCTGCTCATTCCTCTGCCCACACTGATTCATGGTCACAGGGGTCCCCCCTCCTCAGCCAGCACGCATGTCCCTTCCTCATTGTAGACACAGATGGAGGGCAGGTCACTGCCCAGGGACCCTTAGTGTGCTCCTGAGCCCCTAGCCCCCTTCCCAGACCCCTTGGCCAGCCTTGCCCTTTGGTCCCAGAGACCAGGCACCAGGAAGGGACTGACTGGTGGGCAAGCAACATCCAAATTGGAACACCCTGGGAGATGCAGGAGTGGGGCAGGGTCCTGGGAGGGACGGGTCATTTCTTGGCCTGGTTTGGGGCTCCCGTTTCAGCTCCAGAAGTCCCAGGAATGTTTCTCCATCGACAAGTTTCCAGATGGAACTTTCCCAGAGGTTCTGCATGGCAGTGCTTCTTCTGGATGGGATCCGGGACTGTCCACCTGGACTTCTTAGGGTGGAGCTCTGCCTTGAGCCGAGAGGACCACAGTGCAGAGTATTTGCTGGGCAGGCAGGGCAGCATGGGAGGAGAGGAGATGACAGGCAGGCCTGCTGCTGCCCGCCCAGCTGCCGGCCTCCAAGCCTGGCCAAGCCCAGCTGCCCCAGCCTTATTTGGTAAGAGCCTGTGCTGGTCTGGCCGCGCTGGCTGCCAGCCGATGGGACACCCAGAGCCCTGCACAGGCCTGTGTGCACACCAGGCCTGTCACCCAGCTCCTTGGCCAGAGGTGGCTGATTTGGAGGCAGGAGATCCCAGGGTCAGGCCAAGGCTGTGGCAGCTTCCATCGGATCCCAGCTCAGGGTGGGACAGGGATTCCCCGGCTTTTGCCTATATAAGGCCGAGGAGAGGCAGCGGAGGCTGAGCAGCCCGAAGGCCCTGGAGGTATCGGCTTAAGAGGGTGTTTGGCATCGGGCGCGAGGCCTTGGATTCTTGTAAAAACCTGGCAGGGAAATTGTTTGACAGCTTTGACAATGTGCTGAAGTCTCGGAGGGGAACCCGGCCCTTGGAGCGGGCTGGCCAAGGGCATGTGATGCTTCAGCTGCCTCCAGGCTGTGAGCTTGGGCAGCCAGGCCAGACCCGCCACCCGAGGAGAGGCCAGCCCTGGGTAGTGGTGCCCAGGAGAGGGCAGTTGGGGGGCCCCCAAGCTTGGCTTCCTGGTCTGTGTGGAGTGTGGAGCAATGCCCACTGCCCAGGGGGTCCTGAGGGCTCAGGGAGGTAACGGTGTGTGGGGGGGTGCCCCCAGGGTGCCAGGCCCTGAGTCCTGCTGCGTGCCAGGTGTGCTGAACAGTCTTTGTCTCTGTCCCCTCATTCATGCCTCCCAGAGACCAAGGACTCAGATACTCTTCTCGTGCCTACTGACAGATGGGGAAACTGAGGCTCAGAGGAGGAAAGGGATTTAAAACTCTGGGCTTTCTCCAGTCCATTGGGACCTGCACAGGCCAATTCTTCCACTCCACGACGGCATCCTGAGCTTTGATTGGGTGGGGCACCATCCCAGGCCCAGGACAGACGCTCAACAGCCAAGAGATGACCCATCCCCAAGGCGACAGATATTCCTTCAACTAAGAGGGACAGAGAAGGCCTCTCTGTGAAGTGACCTTGAAGCTGAGGCCCAAAGATGACAGGGGGGAAAGCACGGTGCTCTAGGCAGAGGAAACAGCGCTGGCAAAGGTCCCGGGGTAGGGCGAGGCCTGGCTCAATCTAGGGCAGCTGGGAGGCCTCAAGGCTGGAGCAGAGTGAGCAGTGGAGTTGGGGAGATTCAGTCCAAGATCACAGGTGCTTCCAGGGTCTGTGGGGAGTCGAGTTTTATTCTGAGTGGTGGGAAGCTGGATTTGAAACCGGAGCCCTAATAATGTGATCCTCCACGAATCCCATGTCTGCATCTACCAAGTGCTCTATGCTCATTTTCTCACCCAGCTCCGCACCCCTCATGCCTGTGAGAGGGGCAGTCTCTATCCTCAGTTTACCAAAGAGGAAACTGAGGATCCCAGAGTCAGTGCTGCGGATGGGGACCGAGCCCCTCCCTCAGTTCTGTCTGGTGCTGGAGGGCAGCACCCCACCCGGTGGCTGATCCTGGGCCTGACCCCCTGCTGTGCCTTCTACCGCCCGCCCTCCAGTGGCCTGGCTCAGGTTTCCTGCTGCCATGGTGACCAGCTCACCTGGCCTTGCTCGGGACTTTCCCAGTTTTAGAACTGAAAGTCAGGCTTCCCAGGAAAGCCCTCAATTCTGGGCAAATTCGATGCTTGGTCACCAGGCCTGGCCAGCACCACCAGGAGCTTAGGGAAAGGAGAGAGGTGCCCTCCTCACCACCACCTGGCCCCATGCCATCTCTGCCCAGACTGGGCAGGGCCGTGGAGAGGAAGGCAAATAGCAACCAGTGCCCAGTGTGCGGCCCAGCCCCACCTCCTGCCAGCACCTGGGAAATGCCTTCTTTGAGGGGGTCAGTGGGACAAAGGGAGGGCAGGGTGGGGGTGGGAGGGCAGGGCAGGGTGGGGAGGCAAGTGGGAGATGAGAGAGTGGGAGGGCAGAGCATGGGGGTGGGGGGTGGGGGCAGCCAGGGAAGGGAGGAGCTGGAGGAGTGGGAGCAGCCCCGGAACTGGTCACACCGGGAGAGCTCTTCCAACAGGGGGGACCACACAGGCCTGCCTCTGAACCCACCAGCTCTGTGACCCTGAACATCTTCTGGTTGCTTCTTGGTTGCCCAGCCTATACCATGGGAGAGCAACAGTAGCCAGCAATAGCCAAGAAGCTGCCGGGTGCCAGACCCTGCTAAGAGCTTTGCTAGCAACCACCTTCTGGAAGGCACAGGCACCCTCGGGAGGAAAGGCCGACAAGGAGCAAATCCCTTCACTGTGCTGACAAGGAGCAAATCCCAGAGAGGTGAAGACTGCCTTGGGCCACACAGCTGCTCACCCACGGTAGAGCAAGAGTCTGAGCCCAGAACCACCAGCTTCAGTTCCCGCCCAGCGCGGGAGGCAGTGCTCGGCAGGGTGCAGGTTGGGCCAGCTCTCGGAGGGCTTCACTCGAGGCTGCAGCAGCTATGGATCCCTGGGCCTTCCTGAGCCTGTTTCACACCTAGAAAGCAGGGCTAACCGGGGTACCCACCTCATAGGGTTGGCCATTTATTCCAAAAATATTTATTAGGCATCTACACGGTTGTAATCTTGAAGATACTGCAGAGAACAAAAGAGACAAAAATTCCCACCTAGAATTTATATTCTGAGGTGGGAGATACCGACAAAAAAGTAAATACCTGTCGGTGGGAAGCGCAGAGACTCTTCTTTTTTTACTGAAATATTTATTTTAGCCCTTTGGGTGGAGGAGCCAGTGGATCACTTGAGGTTAGGAGTTCGAGACCAGCCTGGACAACATGGCGAAACCCCGTCTCTATTAAAAATACAAAAATTAGCTTGGCATGGTGGCACATGCCTGTAGTCCCAGCTACTCGGGAGCCTAAGGCTGGAGAATCACTTGAACCCGGGAGGTGGCGGTTGTGGTGAGCCGAGATTGTATCACTGCGCTCCAGCCTGGGTGACAAAGTGAGACTCCATCTCAAAAAAAAAAAAAAAGAGAGAGAGAGAAAGTATAATAATCTAATGCACATTCCTCAGGTATCCCTAAAACATGATTTTACTAAATGTGAATACACAGTGTATCCACCTGAGTCTAAAACAGGTCAATCTATCAACTAATTTAAAGAAATTTTTTGATACTATTTGATACTATTTATATAAAATTCTAGAAAAGGCAAAAATCTAATGACAGAAAGCAGATCGATGGTTGGTGGTTGACGGGTGTAGGGGTTGGAGAAGGCTCACTTTCGAAGGGCACGAAGGAGATTTTAGGGTGAAGGGATTCATATCTGGATCGTGGTTACATACTACACACAATTACCAAATTCACATAATGCTACCCTTAAAATGAATGAATATTATTATATATAAATAATACCTAACTTTTCTTTTTTTCTTTTTAATATCTTTATTTTTCTTAAGTAAAAATATGAAGCTAAGAAAAAAGGTTTAGGGGCCCGGCGCAGTGGCTCACACCTGAAATCCCAGCACTTTGGGAGGCAGAGGGCCAGTTTGGGAAGCTGTAGTGAGCCAAGATTGCACCACTGCACTCCAGCCTGGGTGACAGAGTGAGACTCCGTCTCAAAAAAATAAATTAAATAAATATACAATGTTTATTTTAAGGGGAAATTCTGTTGCACCAATGTCAATGGAAAAGCGGTATCATTTGCTTTGCAGGTGACTCTGCAAATAAGCACAGTGAACATTAGTCATGTTTAGGACTGACCAGGATTTCAGATGCCATCACAGCGTGTTCATGTTCCCACCACCTGCCCATGCCGGAAGCCTGGGGTCTGCTCTCTCGGATGGAGAGGGGAGTAAGCAGGAGTTGGCCAGTGTTTAAGACACATAAGCCCCCAGCTCAGCCGAGAAGGAGAGAGCAATCACTGAAGAGGATACGCCATCCCCCTGGGCACTGTGCCTGCCACTCAGAGCATCCTGTGGACCTCGATGGCCAGGGTCCCATTTCTGGCATATTCATCCAGGCCAACCCCATTCCTTGGAGTTGGGGAGGCTAGACCCCAAGAGCAGAGGTCACATCAACACCCACACCAGCCTCAGATGCGTCCCCAGGGCATGTCTCCCCTTGTCCCCTCTTCACAGGCAAGAGATCCCCATGCTCTGCCCTGTGCCAAGGGCATCTCCAAATTTTCACAGTTACCTTTATGTGGCAGGTGCCTGGAGCTGGAGCTAGCCTTCCAGCACCTACAACCCAGGCGTCTTCCCAGAGGGAAACACTGTGTTTAAGTGTTAACTGTCCAGCTCCCACGAAGGCAGAGTAAATGGTCTGACTCCGTTCCTGGGCAAACACAAGAATATGTGCCAATCGGGTGTGTGGGCTGGGTCTGGCCACCAACACAGGTCTCTGGGGATGGTGGCTCGCCCGCATTCCAGAACCACAGGCCGGGGCATGCCTGGCAGGCGGCAGGTTCTTTACCACCAGGCAGAAGGGAAAAGAAGCCCTTTGTCTTGGGGTCACATCCCAGTGTTGGCACATCCCCAGGAGCTGTGGTCACCTCCTCTTTAGTGGACAAGGTTACCTTCATGTTGCTAAGAAACAGCTTGGAGGGAGGGGAACCCAAGCTCCAGGTAGGGCTGCCTGGGTTCAGACCTCAGCTCTGAGCCCCTGAGCGGCCGTGGAGGAAGGGCTGGCCTCTGTGTGTCCCCTGCTTATTGTAAAATGGGACACTCATAAAGCAAATCACAGAGCCGTGGACAGGATGAAAGAGCTAATGTGAGTGTGGCACCTCGAATAGTGTGTGTGCTCCACAAGAGTGAGCAAGGGACGTCTGGGATTTTTCTTTTTTCTGCCTCTCATTTTAAATAACACCCACTGTGAATGCTTTTGCGGCTGAGGGTTATTTCCTTGGATGCAGAACCCCGCCTCAAGATGATGTGTGGGGTCGGGGGTTCATGTAGCTGCATGGGACTTGTTCCATGCAGACAGAAGCATCTTTGAAATCAGATCTGTTTACAGCAAAGGGATGTGTTCTTTTCCCCGCATCCTTTGCAGCACTGGGCTTTATCTTTTTATCCATATTTTTCTAATTTGATCAGCAAGGCTGGCCATTCTTCCATGTACCAGTTAACTGTCCACATTTTCTCAGGGATGAAGGGTTTGTTCACCGCCCTTGATGGTTTTCAAGTGTGTCTGGGACAGTGCCTGGTGCTGTCAGCTGGAGCTGGCCAGCCCACACTGGAAGCATTTTTAAATAGGAAGAGGAGGGAGGGGTTTGAAGCTGGGGGAGATGGGGAACCCTCCCACGCAATCCCCACCATCCCTGCCTTCCCTTTATCCTGGGTATTTTGGAGTCTGCCAGCTGAGGAGTGCTCTCCCAGGATCGGGACTGAAAAACGCCGAGGCTGGAGATGAAGAGAACAGTGACCATTGATTCTGTTCCAGGCAGTGAGGCACATGTGTGACAGGCACCTTTCCTGGACCCAGCAATGCTCCTCCCCTGTCCCTGGCTCTCCTGGAAACCCCTAGTGAGGTCAGAATGAGCCACTCCATCAATGTATGATCCTCAGATGACTGTGTCCCTTTGCTCCTTAATTATTCAGGTGTCCAGATTCTCTAATAGCAAGAAGCCCAGAACCCCCTGCTCCAGTCCTCTCTCGCTTTTAATCTTCCAGGAACCCCAAAGTCTTCCTTAACCCACTCTTGGGGGTTGGCTGCCAAAGGTCTCTGCTGTCAGGTGTCTTGCCACCACATGAGGACACTGCTGAAGCTGCGTGCAGAACAGTCCTGCAGACACTGTATGCTGGGCAGGGGAGCCCACACAAGGCGGACCTTTGCCTGGGCATTGGAGGTCACCCACACTTGGGACCTGAGTTTACAGCTCTCATGGGTCACTCTTAAATACTCAGAGCAGAATGCCACGTGACTCCCCATGTATCCTCCATGCACCCAGTATCCAGGACCTGGCCTATCACTCTCCTCCACTGCCGTCGCCGTGGTCACTACCTGCTCCTCCCACTAGGCTGGGCTTTCTCAACCGCAGCCCCTTTGACATTTGGGGCCAGATCTTTCTCTGCTGTGGGGACCATCCTGGGCATGGCAGGATGCTTGGCAGCACCCTTGACCTCTGCCCACCAGGTGCCCGTAGTACACCCACCATTATGACAACAAAAAATGTCTCCAGACACTTTCAATGTCCCCTGTGGAGAAGAAAAGCCCCCAGTGGAGAGCCACTGCCCTAGACTACTGGGGCAGCACCCTCCACGCCGGCCTGGACTCCCTCCCCGGCCCCTCACCTCCCTTTCTTGACACCACAGCAGAGGTGAGCTTTTAAAAACCCACACAGCTCGTGATGCATGTCACTCTAGGTTCAAAAGCATTGGGTGGTTTCTCTTGATATTTGAGATCCACACCTGCGCCTTGGCCCCAGGCCCTGCAGGCTGACCTCACCTCTGCCTCCAGCTTGCCTGGCTCCCACCAGCCAGGTACAAGAGCCCGGCCTCTGACGTTGGCACCCTCTGTCCTCTCTGCCTTAAGCTCTGTTCAGTCTCTCCCTCCCTGCATTCCAGGTCCTTCCACACCCCAGGGGCCCGCAGAGGTCCTGAACCCCGCCCGTGGTGTTGCCCCTTTCTGCCCTGCCGCTCAGCCCATCTGCCTGATTTATGCCTTCATTGCCCTTCCTTAGGTATCCGATTTCTGTTCTACTCATTTATTTTTAATTTATTTTTATTTTATTTACTTCTTTCATCCCCATTAGACTGTCAGCTCCATCAGGGCAGGGGCCTGTCTTGTTCCCAGCCGTACCCCAGAGTCTAAAATGGCACCTGGATTGTGGGAGGCACCCAGGAAACACCAGGTCCATAAAGGAATGAATGAAATGGGCGTGGGCTTCTCTTGAGTCTGGGAAATAGGCCTTGTCCCCACATGGCTGTGGAGCTGTTGTGGGGAGGCTGTGGGCTTCTGTGGGCTCTAGAATCTGGCACTCAGCCTAGGACCTGCGGGCTCTGTGCCTCCGGCTCTTGGGAAACAGGTGGAAACTTCCTTCCTGAGTGTCGGAAGCAGCCGCAGGCCCTGCCACACCCAGCCCTGGCCCAGCTCGAGGCGAGGCCCCAGGTCTAAATATAGAAACTGGTTGTGAGAGGGCGGGTTTCTTCTCTGATGAGAGGAAGTGGCTGGTCTGATTAAAACCAGGGGTTTGTTCACCCCTCATTGAGACAGTCCTCCCCATGGCCAGGAGAAAGGAAATGTGGCAAAATGACCCCAGCCGATAGGGCCTTCCAAAGAGGCCTGGAGAAGGTAGCCAGGAGGCAGGTGGTCTCCAACTGCTCCCTAGGGGATGGCTGGGAACCCTGCTCTGAGACACAGGGGCTGTGTCTTCCTGAGCCAACCCTAGCCGCTCTGGGTCTCGGTTTGAATAAAAAGGGATCGGCCAGATTTGATTTTCAAAGCTGGTGTTACCTGGTAGTGCCTGAATCAGGAGCTCTCTGAGTCTCAGTTTCCCCATCTGCAGAATGACCATGCCTGTAACAGATGGCTGGCAGGAGTCAAGGAGGCAGTGTGTGTGGCCAGCCTAGGACAGAGCTGGGCACATGACGGGGGCTCCAAAGGCGTGCGCTGCTGGCAGATGTCCACATGAAGTTTGGGATCCTGGGGAAAATGAATGCAGAGCCCCTTGTTGAAATGTTACCAAGAATTTCAAGACGGCCTGGGTGCAGTGGTCCACGCCTGTAATCCCAGCACTTTAGGAGGCCAAGGTGAGCAGATCACTTGAGATCAGGAATTCGAGACCAGCCTGGCCAACATGATGAGACCCCCCATCTCTACTAAAAATACAAAAATTAGCCAGGAATGGTGGTGCACACCCATAATCCCAGCTACTTGGGATTCTCCTGAAGCAGGAGAATCTCTTGAACCCAGGAGGTGGGGGTTGCAGTGAGCGGAGATCATGCCCATGGGTGACAGAGTGAGAGCTCTGTTTAAAAAAGGGAGAAAAAAGAATTACAAGATGGTTAACAGCAGAAAATGAACCCCGTACAGGGCACTTCTGAGCCCTTTGTGACTATCCAGCTGCCATAACTAGGGGAGGACCCTCAGGGAGCCCACAGAGCAGTGTGCAGCCCCCAAGGTGGCCTTTTCACAGCCCAAGGGATCCCAGGCAGAATCAAGCCCAAGCCCAAGTCCACCCCTCCCCGCCCCCACCTGCTGTGGTTCCATCGATGGGCCCATCTGAAGAAGGTGATGAAAACAGTAAAAAGGTGATGATGCCCAGATGCCAGTCCTCCGGGTACAGTGGTGACAGGGCTGGGCCCTGGGCTGGATGGGGGCTGCTCTTCCAACAATCGGCCTCACCTGTACCCTCCTCCCTGGACCTCAACTGTCATCAGTGGAAAACACAAAACCAAAGCACAGCGCACAGTGCAGCTCACCCATGGGGTGGGGGGCGTTACACTGACGCACACAAAACTGTGGTCCTACAAATTGCTGTAGCCATAAATATGCAGGTGGAGCCAGGCATGGTGGTTCACACCTGTAATCCCAGCACTTTGGGAGACCCAGGTGGGAGGATCACTTGAGGTCAGGAGTTCGAGAACAGCCTGGCAACATGGAAAAACCCCGTCTCTACAAAAACTACAAAACAAATTAGCCAGGCGTTGTGGCACGCGCCTGTAGTCCCAGCTATTCGGGAGGCCGAGGCATGAGAATCACTTGAACTCGGGAGGGAGAAGTTGCAGTGAGGTGAGATTGCACCATTGCACTTCAGCCTTGCCGACAGAGCCAGGCTGTGTCTCAAAAAGTAAATCAATAAATATGCAGGTGGAACCCCAGGCAGGGAAGGCAGCGTCTGCACCCACTCAGCCCTGAGCTTGACTCTAAGGAGCAAGGACCACAGCACAATTCAGCTGTGTCTGTAACATTTTATTTCTTAAAGAATTAAAAAGAGAGAGAGAGATTAGTGGCAAAATAGGACAAAACCTTAATTATGTGTAATTCTGGGCAGCAGGGGTTTGTTTTATCCTTCCCTGAAGTTTTCTGTAACTTTTCGTTTTACAATGTAGATTTTGCTGGAAAAAAAGAAAAAAAAAAGCCTGCAAGCAAGTGGACTAGAAGATAACTGCTCTTTTACTGACATCCGTAAGGTGCCCAGGAAATGTAGCATTAATTGAACACCTACTGTGTAGCTGGCACAGGGCTGGGTTCCAGGGAAATAAAAATGAGCATGCCCCTCCAGGAGCCCAGCAAGGTCAGAAGAAGGGGGCGCCAGCACCAGTCTGGGACCTGCACGAAGTCACCTCCTGGGCGTGGGGCTCACGTTTTCCTATTTTTACGGAAAAGCCGTTCTGGGGTATTTTTCTCCTTCTGCAGAAGGATGGCTGGAGCCTTGCAAGAATTTGCTTGTGGACACCAAGGGCTATTGTGTAAAAGTGGCGTCTGCAGGTACATTCACTCATGGCTATAGTTTGGGGGAAAGCTCCCGCCCACTCCACTCCACCCTGGAATCCCAGCCACCACTGAGCGCCTTCAATGAACCAGAGGTATCGCCCTGAATTTTCAGCAGCTTTTGAAGGTGGGCACAGGAATCTGTGCCCTTGAGTGTGGAAGTGGCCTCAGCTGGAGCTGCTGCCCTCCTGGGAGCTTCAGCAGCCTCCCTGGAGATGATTGACAGAGGATGCACCAGGCAGGGTCAACCAGCGCCTTCCCGGTGCCCTAGGTTTATCCAGAAGGGGCCAGTGAAGTGTTCAGGGTGGGACGCACAGTCCCTACCCCCACAGAGCTCCAAGCTCTCCTAATTTCCATCTCCTTTGTTTGTTTCAACTTTTTATTTCAAAATAATTTTAGACTAACAGAAAAGATGCACAGAGGCCAGGCACAGTAGCTTATGCTTGTAATCCCAGCAGTTTGGGAGACTGAGGCAGGCGGATCACCTGAGGTCAGGAGTTCAAGACCAGCCTGGCCAACATGGTGAACCAGAATCACTCAGGAGGGGCTCAACGTAGATAGTCACTTGCTCACCAGCACACAGCTACTGGTCATTTACATCCATCCAACACACAGCCATTGGTCACTTATATTCATCCAGAACACAGCCATTGGTCACTTATATTCACCTAGTGCAGCTACTGGTCACTTACATTCATCCAACACACAGCCATTGGTCACTTATATTCACCCGGTGTGCAGCTATTGGTCACTTATATTCAGCCAGCGCACAGCCATTGGTCACTTATATTCGCCCAGCACACAGCTATTGGTCACTTATATTCAGCCAGCGCACAGCCATTGGTCACTTATATTCACCCAGTGTGCAGCTATTGATCACTTATATTCATCCGGCGCACAGCCATTGGTCACTTATATTCAGCCAGCGCATAGCCATTGGTCACTGATATTCACCCAGCACACAGCTACTGGTCACTTATATTCATCCAGCACACAGCCATTGGTCACTTATATTCACCCGGCACACAGCTACTGGTCACTTATATTCATCCAGCACACAGCCATTGGTCACTTAAATTCACCCGGCGCGCAGCTATTGGTCACTTACATTCATCTAGTGCACAGCCATTGGTCACTGATATTCACCCAGCGTGCATCTACTGGTCACTTATATTCATCCAGCGCACAGCCATTGGTCACTTATATTCACCCGGCGCACAGCTATTGATCACTTATATTCAGCCAGTGCACAGCCATTGGTCACTTATAGTCACCTGGCACGCAGCTACTGGTCACTTATATTCATCCAGTGCACAGCCATTGGTCACTTATATTCACCTGGCGTGCAGCTACTGGTCACTTACATTCATCCAGCACACAGCCATTGGTCACTAGCTCACCCAGCACACAGCTATTGGTCACTTATTCATCCAGCGCACAGCTATTGATCACTTTTATTCATTCAGTGCACAGCTGTTGCATGCCCAGGGTAAGAACAGATGGCCCTCGAAGGGACAGCTGATGCTCACGCACAGTTTTTGGAGTAGGATGACATGAGTTCAAGCCTCAGTTCTACTGAGTAGAGCTGAGTGGCCATGGCCACATCAGTCACCTTCTCTGAGCCTCAGTTTCCTCCTCTGTAAAGTGGGCTGCTGTGAAAGCTGAGTGAAAACGTCCTCCAAGCACCCACCTGATGTGCAGAGCACTTCTTGCCCAGTATTGGGTTTATCACCTGTACAACGGTTGTTCTCCTGGCTGGTGGGGAGAGCTGCCCAGGCCAGGAGGATCCCAGGCAGGCTGGGGACCAGGGGCACCCTTCCCCAGTTTAGGCAGCTGGGGGTGGGGTGAGGCAGCACATTCAGTAGCCGGATCCTGGCCTGTGTCCTTGAGTTACCGAGGGTAGCACCAGGCTGGTGCCTAACAGCCCAAATGAGCCTCATTTGTGATGCAAATGGCTGGCAGTGGCCACGGATGGGCAAAGGCACAGCATCCACATTCAGCTTTTATTCTGAGCAGAGCTCAGGGAGAGGAGGAAAGAGAGGCTGGCTCCCTAGCCAGCCCCAAGGGATCTTTCTGAGTGGGACAGGGGGCAGCAGGGACCCTGAAGCAGGGGTGACACATTCCTGGCAGCCGACAGGGAAGGCTGGGGCCACTGGAATGAGTAGGATATACATCGCTGGCAGAGGCGTCAGTCCTGCTGGAACCCAAGGGTCATCTCGCCAGGCTTGCCCTCTGGACTCCTGAGAACCCAAGGCCACACTCTGTCATACCTGCCCCTTCCGAGGATCCACGGTGGCTTCCGAGGACCCACGGTGGCTTCAGAGGCTGGTTTGAGGGCATAGGTGAGCCCCCTTGGGAGACTCCAGAAATAACAGTGAAATCATTTCAAGAGGAACAGGTCCTGCAGGATCACTGCATTTGGGGAAAAATTCAGGAAAGTGGGGCCTGAGAGCCCCACACTGTGCCCTCCTGGGAGTGCTGTGGGAGGACTAAAGAGGAAGGTGCAGATGAAACGGGGCCCCCAGAGGGGCTTACTGCCAAGGCGATGCCAACAGACCAGCACATGCGGCTGCATTCCAGGGGAACCTGAACGAGCTGCTGCCTCCATCGCATGGGATGGGAAAGCCCACCCATGCAGCTAAGGGTGAAGAAAGAGCAAGCTCCTTGTGTGCTAAGGGGCCTGGTCAAGATGCATTTCAGAGGAAAGAGCCAGGTGCCGTGCAGAGCGAATGGCCTGTGCTCGATTGAGGGAGAGTAAACACCCACCTGCGCAGACAGCGGTGTCCCCAGCTGGAGCCCCTGCATGCCTCAGGAGAAGAGAACTGGAAGGGACAGGGTGGAAAGGAGGCTTTCCGCTACAGTCTGCTGAATCCTATCGTACACAGGGAATCGAAGCTGGGCTCATTCTCTGTGTTGAAATGCCACCACCGGGCCAGGTGCAGCGGCTCATGCCTGTAATCCCAGCTCTTAGGGAGGCAGAGGCAGGAGAATAGCTTAAGCCCAGGAGTTCAAGGCCTGCCTGGGAAATATAGCAAGACCCCATTCTCAAAAAAAAAAAAAAAATTTGAAATGCCACTACTGTTAGCAGCAGGCAGCTGATGACTGAAGGCTGGAGAGCCCAGAGGCTAGGGTGCAAAGCAGGGTGACATGGGGCCCATCTCAGTGGGACCTAGCTGTCCTCCCTCTTCTCACTTCCCAGCACCTGCTTTTCCACCAAGAACAATGGTGCCCCTGCCTCAGGGAGAGGAGGAGTGCAGGGTGTGGTGGAGGCAGCCTATAGAGCCCGGGTGCCAGGTGGGATTCTCCGGAAGCTCGAAAGCACTCTCTGGAAGGCTGGGTGGAAGTGAGAGTGGGAGTCACACTGGGATAGTCTCTGGGTCAGCACTGCAAGTGCAGCCGTGCTGGGGAGGAGAGGAAGCTCCAGGAGTCAGGACCCTGCTCCCAACTCGGAGAGTTCCATTCCAAAGCCACCAGCAGTGCTGGTGTTGTAAGAGGATGGGAGGATATGAAGTCACACGTCCCAATCTGGGCCCCTTCCCACCTGGCAGCCTCAGCCTCCGCTCCCTGACTACACTCCTGGCCTCTCAGCCTCCCTGCAGTTCCTCAGTGGCTGAGCATGTCTAACCCCCAGGCATTCGGACAGACCACCACCTCCTCCGCAAGACTCTCCCCCGCGCCTCACTGTGGGACCTCTCCCCAGGCTCTGCCAGCCCTGCCTCTCACCTGGCCCCTGCTGACCCTCCAGCAT